CAAAGCACATTATCATAAAGAACTTTGCTAAGTTCTAGATCTGTCCATAAACCACATCGGCAAGAAAATAATTATTAACTTATGTTGCAAACACATAATTGAGCAAAACCAACCTTACCAACATTTCACACATGACTAAAGAACACCAGAAAGCATGGTGCTCACCTCTAAATAAATTTTCTTAAAGCATTTCTTAATTTATTTAGACATCAAGGTGTATTTATGAACATATAGCAAAAATGCACAATAAATTCTACAAAAATTACAGTAGCTCACATATCCTCTCAATAGTCTACTGTACAAATTTCATACTGTTTGCATAAGTATAGCTGCCTCTACGAAAAATACAATTAGCTATTGCAAGAAATCATGTGAGAGCGAGATAAACCACTAACTCACTCATACTTCATCCAATACTCATGAAATTTTTACCACACATCAACTATCACATTAGTAGCATGCCACAAAAATTTCACTTCATTTGGAGTCCTAGATCTGCAGTTATGGAAAATAACAAATTCAACTAGCATTACAACCTTCTTGCACAAATCTATTTTTATAGCAAAATATTTAAACTAAAACATGACATATTATAGATCTAATGCATAGACAATTTCACAAGGATTCCAAAAAGTCCTCATTTACTATTTGACAATTTTTATACTAATTACTATGAATTTTCAAAGTTCATCATTCAAATCTACAAAAATCAAAGAAAAGCAATGTAAATCTTGCATCGGGGTCCCTGCGGAAAATAGAACTCAAACGTCAGCGAAGAGGTCCTCCTGAGCACTATTCACATGAGTCACAACTTCACTGACAAGATCCTTCCCTTTTCCCTTATTTGAGGCGACGTCCTTCATCTTCATCCTTACGATGGCGAGGAAGCGAGGAGCGGGCTCGCTCGGCGGCGAGAGCTGCGCAGCCATGAGAGAGGGGCGGCTGGCTTGTCGCTGTCATAGCTGCGCTGACCAACATGGCATGGCCAGCAGCCCGTGGCCCTCCGGCCACATGTGCGGATGGCATGCAGCGGTGGCTGACTGCAATGATATAGCAAAGCAAATGCAACAACGGCGCGAAGGGAGCTGATGGGGTGGAGGCGGCGACGCAAACCGGAGAAGTCGAAGGTGTTGCTGGCTGAGCAAAGGAAGGCTGGAGGCAAGGGAGGCAAATGGCGGCGATGGAGCTCCAAAGCAGTGGCGTTGATGGCGCTGACGGACAGTGCTTGGAGACAAGTAGAGGAGAAGGAAGGGAATGGAGAGGAGAGAGTGGAGAGGGTCTCTGCTTATATGCACAACAAGGAGGCGGTGGCGGCCATGCAAGCAAGGCGGTGACGGCGCAACACGCGGATTGCAGCGCTAAGCACGGTCGGCCATGCAAATGCTTATACGCTAACTGAAGGAAAAATCTAATACTACCTCAAACATACCACTGAAACCCAAACTTCGTACCTCCGTAACTCCTAAACCACGAGGATTTAGCAAAAACTCTAGTAATAAAAGTTGTAGATCTACATACTATCTCAAACTTTTATTAAAGTACCATGGTCCGATTCGAGATGGTTAGCAAACTACAAGGCATCAAATATGGTCACAAGAAACTGGAAAACTGATCTTCAGTTTTACAGACTTAGGCAAAATTTCGAGCTCCCAAAACAGACATGGATTCCAAATTGATGGCTCAGTTTGACTTTCTTACAAGCTGATCTAGCTCTTGGTACAAAAACAAAGTTTGTTCTACTCCACTCAAACTTCAACTTTTGTTTAGGTTCCACTACCATGCAAATCCTCTAAACCATAGTTCAAACCAAGTCAAAGTAGCATCACGATAAAGCTTAAATTAGAGTTTTAGACCGATTGAGGCATTTTCTTGATCTCTGCTCAACACGAACCCTCATGACTTTTGTTGTAGAGTTCAATTAGAGTCGCTTGGATAAGGTAGCAAGGTTTGGTTGATGACCTATAATTCCATTCACTTAATAAAGCAATCCAAGAAAGATTTTAACTTATCATTTTAGGTGACTTCTTGATTCTAAACTTCATGAAACTTTTCCAATCATTCATGTGGGTGGAAATTGATGTGAGACACATGAAATAAGCACCTTCAACATTACTTAGGTAAATATCCGAAAAGGGCCAATATGCAAGCAAAGGTGTGTTGCCCGAGTTTAAGTTGGAGCTCACTCTTGTAGATTTGATCTTGACACCTTCATCACCACTTAACATGCCATGTTTGAGTTCAAACCCATTGCTTAACTGGTGACAAACACCTGGGGTGTTACACGCCACCCCTTAGGAATAGGAGTAGAGTAGATTTCAATGGGTTCTTTGGGCAAGCAGGGCTGCATCGGACGACCTGACCTCTGGCTTGTTTGTGAGTATCCGTCATGACTTGTATTGTTACTTGCAAGGCTGCAACAGACGACTGATCTCTTGCAAGTCACGGTATAAGTTAGTTATCGATCTATAATGTTTTTTGTAAGGCTGCAACAAACGACTGATCTCTTATAAATCGCGGTATAGATTAGTTATCGATTCATATCAACCTTTACAATCTTTGCAATGCAGACGGTGATCTCATGTAAACGTTGATGTTGATCAAAGTTATCGATATTGTGTTAAATAGTTTACTGTTTAATATAATATCACCAATTGCCCGATCTAGTTTGAGATTTATTGGTCTTATTATTCTGATCTATCGTCTGCTAGTTATTATCACAGTTGAATTTAATTCTTGACGTTAGATCCTGTTTGATGACTAATCTATCTCGATCTTGATCGTACATGGCGGGTGTTTGAAGTCGTGTTCTATTAAGAGATAGATTCATCGATCGCCCGATTATCTGTATGACTCGCTATATCAATGCCGCATCGACTCGATTCGTTGGATGAAGATGTCCGATTGGACATTGTCGGTTAATAGATCTATCTATTAAGAAGAACATGGCGTCAACCACCTATATGTCTCCATCGGCTAAATTGCCGATGGCTTGAGCTTTCACAGCGTATAACATGCTTTCAAGATTTCTTTGCGATGTAAGTAGATCTATCATTGTTGGTCTACGATCTAGGGTCCCCTCTCATCAATGTTGCATCGAACGACTCGACCTATCGATGGTACAATAGATTGAGCCTAGTTGTTTGTCAATTTATTTATATCCAACGGATGAGTGATTGTATGCTATACGACAAGATCACTAGAATATGCTATTTTAGCCGATGGCCCGTTTTGTTGAGGATGTACTGGCTATTTACAAACTTTTATCTGTTTTCATCTCAGATAAAGCTAGTATTTTCTCATATGTGTGCCTATACACCTATCCTTACATCTTTCGCATGTTTTCATGATCATCGGCTAGTTAAGATCTATATATTTGAATAACTGACAATTGCCGATATGCTTGTTTTGCTTATATTACATCATGAACATGCCGGATATCGACTCTCTAGTCGATAGCCTTATCCCATCGGCAACTTAGCCGCATATTTGGAACTGTCTGGACAAACACCGGCATGTTCCACCTTAAATTACAGATCAATTTTCTCTCCTTATCAATTGCTGGGTCAAATTGACTGGCACGCCCACGGTCACGACCATTCGGTCCAGTGTCCACCTTAAGCCCGGAGCGAGCTCGGGATCTGCTCCACGAGGTCTCTCTCGGCTTGCTTCCGTGTCTTGACGTGGCGGAGAACAATCCGTCACTTTTCGCCATCCACAAAATTAAGGGCACTACTAGCACCGGACGTCCAGACAGCGCCCGCCAGCTCACTGGTCCATTTTCAGCGTGTCCACATGTGGGCCCGTGCGCGCTGGATGTCGCTCGACCAGGCCTACATCACCCGTGTCCATGCGGGGCCGGCGCTTCGTGCCCTCTCCTGTTTCCCATGTGCATCTCATGTGCAACACCCAATCAACTTTTGAAACATCTAGAAGCAACACTTGGAACATACAAAAAAAGACAGATGAAACACTTAAAACATGTGTCTAAAACACCTAAAAAACACTTGAAAAACATTGCAAACATATGTAACATCCAGATAAAACACTTGCAACATTTGTGTTGAAACATATGCAACATCCAGATAAACACACTTGCAAGATATGTCTGGAAAAACAGACGAAACACGAACAGATGCTTGCAACATACGTGTACAACCATTGCAACATATGTAACATCCCGATCTACTTTTGCAATATCCGTATGAAATACTTGCAACGTACCTCTAAAACATCTGAAACATTTGAAATGTACGCTTGAAACATGCATTGTATCCTGATGCAGCCTCCTCCGCCATTTGCATCGGGGTGCCACGGCTGTAACAGGAGGCGAGGCCGGAGGAGCAGGAGCAGCGTGGGGTGACCGTCGGCGGTGAAGCGAGCAGAGTAGAAGCGGGTAGGCGGGCCACTAAGGTGGAGGCGCCCGCGGCGGTGGGGAACGCCACGACTCGATGCGAGATGGGGAGATGTCACGCTGTATTTTTTATTAGTGAAGGAGGAGGCCTGTTGGACCGGTCCACATGCCTAGAAAGAAGCATCCGATGGACGCGCTCACCAAAGTATTTCCATAAAATTAAACCTATTTGTAAGCTCGCGAATAACCTGTCTTGTAAACTTAAGCCTTTTGATGGATTGGCAGATCGACAGCCCGTTTTGCATTCCCAATCAGGTTTGCTTTGCTTCACCAACAGAAAGAATATATTCTTGCCTTGCAGCAGATCGATCGTATTTCCATGCCCTCAAGCTGGCTTTTACCTTTATATATGCCATGGCAGAATCTTTTCCTAACTTCCTATATACGTCGCGGGGCAACCGATCACCGAACGCACGTATTCTGAAATTCGATTCCTCTTTTGCATCACGTTATATGCCATGCTTCCTTTGGGTTGGCAATTTGCATCGGCCGGGTGCATGGTGTGAGTCGATTATTGCGCTCGCGCGACAGTGATAACCGGACGAATTCAAACTAGAGGAGAAGAAAGAAGAGAGCTGCAGGTGGAAACATGGCAGAAGCGATCATCGGTCCCCTGGTGGTGAAGCTGCAGGAGCTCGCCGTCAGCGAGGCGCGGGCGCTGGTGGCGGTGAACGACGACATCCGGAGCCTCCGGGACAAGCTCATGTGGATGCAGGCCTTCCTGCGTGACGCCGACCCGCGGCGCCGCATCGTCCCGGACGAGGCCAGCCGGGTGTGGCTGCACCAGACGCGCGACGCCGCCTTCGACGCCGAGGACGCCGTCGACCAGTATTTCCTCCTCGTCGACCTATCCAGGTATATTTTGCACACACATATATATATATACATCCTGAGAAAGATCGGACCAGTTGTTTCAAAAGAAGAAGAAGAAGAAGAAGAAGATCAGACCAGCTTCACCATTTTTCCGTGTTGGAATTTTGTTAAATCCTTATTTTCCGCATAAATAGTTGTTTCAGTAGTAGCACGTGTACTGAAAACCACGGCCTACATTTAGGAAGTGCACGGAAACCAATGAACTTCCGATCTTGAATATATACGAAACATATGTACTCTCTCCGTCCATTAAAAAATGCAATTTCCATTTTTCAAGGAATGAAACGATTTAAAGTTTAATCAAAGTTATATAAAAAGTACTAACATTTATAATAAAAAATAAGTACCACTAAATTAATTATGAAATATATTTTCATAGTATACCTAGTTGGATACATAGATGTTAATAGTATTCATTGTGTATCTTCTATGGACGAAGGGAGTATATATTGTTCGAATAATTTTAGCCAAGAGTTCAAGTTTCTCCACCTATTTCAAAAAGTTTTCTAAACAAAAAGAATTCAAAACCCTTTTGGAGGGAGAAACTGATTTTTTATCAACTTATTAATTCTCCAACATATAGAACTGGGCGATCAGTTTAAACCGAAAATTCAATTCGGTCCATTGGTTTTCATAAACTTTGGTTTGATTTGAAATCAATATAGCCGGTCAGTTAATTAAATAACAAAAATCGACAGATCCGGTCACAATTAAAGAGGCAATTTTTAAAGGCACCTCCTATTTTTGTCAAGGGCGCTCTACTTAGCAAACCATTTCTAATTAGAACCAGAGCACTGCAGCTTACTAACTCCACTTGGAAATGCATTGTCTTTTCAATAAACTGACCCTAGAAATATATCATTTTTAGGAGTGGTCAGCTTAAGATAACAGCCCTTGAAAATATGATTTGTAGGGGTGACTGCTTATGTCAACAGCCCCTGTAAATGGCTGATTTTTAAGGGTAGTTGACTCCACTAAAAAATGGTATGGAGAGGCGGTCGAGTCAACTGCCCTTGAAAATAGCTGTAAAACAAAGAAATTTAATTTTTCAAATAAATTTGGGTGAAGGCAAAATTTATATTAAAATGGTAGAGCTCAACGAGATGTAAAACTTTATAGTTAACAGCTTTTTTCATTGATGTTTGTTTAGGGGACCAAATAAATAAATAAATAAATATATAGATAAAGCTCTTAGATTTTGAATTTAAAATTTTGAATTTTTAAATGACTCAGATGGAGACACACCCTATATCAAAGATGTAGTTCTAAATGAGATCTAGAATTTTATAGTTGAAAATTTTCCATTTAAGATCGTTAGAAGCCAAATTTCAATGCAAGTCATACATATTAATTCAAAAGGATAGTATCATATACTTAGTCGGAAGTAATTGTGTGGTGCAGTGGTAGGTGAGAAAACACGCGAGACATAGGTTGCCGGTTTGAATCCCAACCAATACACTTGTGCTAAATACTTTCAAAATGGAACCTTGCGATAACATCTGTAGTGTCATAGCCTCTCGAGCATATAATTGTTTTATGATTTTAAATATCTAAAAAGTATTTTTAGTCTATTGGATTATTCCTAAAACTCATTTTTTAAGGAAGGTTGACTTAGCAAAATTGTCTCCGAATAGAACTGTCCTAAAAGTACCTTATTTTTACAATCAATGGCGTAGTAGCGGTTTTAAAAACAATCGCTAAAAATTAATTTTGAGAGGTCCACAGCCAACAATTTCAATAGAAATTTCATTACATGCATCAATAAATTAAAGACACTACATCTGTTAAATTTTATATATCATCACAACAATATAGTTCATATGTACGAAATTAGCAAATCTAAATATCAAGTGTTTATCTCAAGGTCAAGTCCCAAAGTCCACTAGCCCTCGCGAAACTCATCCTTTGAACCGATGATATTTGCTATAATAAATTTCATAATTGACTTCAGATGTGGTCATGCTCTTGCTCTGAGATATGCTCTGAGATGTGCCTAGTGGAAGGAGTTTATTAGGCCACTTTGTACAGGAATTAATATCTATGCTATGAAGAAGTAGGAAGCTAGTGTTAGGATTCAATATAAATAAATAAAATAAAAAATGTTATTTGCAGTGTATATTACACATGAAGAATACCTTATAGCGGTTAACTTTAAGGAAATTGTGCATTATTTGTCGGTTGCTACTTGTAGCGCCTAAAGTGTATAAGATGAATGAATTTAAGTTGATATAGGATAGTATCATAGTATCTATATATCGGGTATTTCATTCAAATGTCCATCACTATTATGGTTTTGTCATGGACATACTTCATTTGGTGTAATCCTTGAAACACTACTGGAAACTGAAATTTCCGGTCCTGTGAAACCGATAGGAAAATACCACATACTGACAGAAAATTTGGGAAATCAATTTCCCTATCGGGATACCGATAGAAAATACTGATAGGGCAAAAGCAACAGAAATAGAAAAATTTTCTATCGGTAGATGAATTTCCATGTCGGTGCACAAATAGAAAGGAATTAGCATATGGCCATCAGTGTCTAATGCAAAATCATTAGCAATCTGGAAATAGTTCAAGGCTCTAATAGATACATAAGAAGAGTCAGAGACACCTCTAATTCTATTGAATTAGAACATTGCATGATTAGAGGCATCTATGATTCCCATCAAATAAAAGTTTTTCAGATTTGGAAATGTAGTCGATCTTTCATGATTACATTATTTAATATACAATTTGACCTAAAGTCAATATACCATTTCCCTGAAGGTACCCAAGCTGGACACGCACCATTATAAGGTTCATTATGAATTTAGCACACAACTACGTGTGCGGCACAACCTTTCTAGCAAGATCAAAGCTATCAACTCAAGACTTGAGAATATAATTAAGAACAAGGAAACATACAAGCAAATTGAGGACACCAACAAGATAGTTGTTCCATGGAGAGCTTCCACGGCCATCTCTGTTGCCCCAACCAAATTGTAAGTTGGTATAAACAATACATTTCTGGATTTTGTTTTGTTGATAATAACATGTGTGCCTTATCCTAGACTCCTAGAGGTGCGATAATATATATAGGTGTTCAACTTTATTCTTGGTTATATAATCCCAACCCATGCTTGTTGACAGTCGATGTCTGAGTATGGTTCTTTAATTTGGTTCTATTTATTTTCTTCTATATGCTATTTCTTAGGAAGCTAGATGCATACACACCAAATGCATCCATAATTTCTTTCCCTTTAGATTGACTCTTTCTACCTTTTTAGGTCACTGAGATATAAGCTTCAGTCAATGCCATAACTAGGGATATGCACACATCCAAGTATTTCTGTTTGAATGAGTACATTCGGATCGGATATTCCTGTTTCCAGTAATGATGTGTGGATGCTTCTACAGTTGTACTTGTAGAACATAATGGCAGTTGTACTTGTAGAACATAATGGCTTTGTCCTTTCAAGGCTTCTATCTATATGCTATTACTCATATCTTGTTTTTTCTTGGTATTTATATACACGAGTGTGAATACCCTAAGGTAGAATAATGTTCTACACCCATCATGTACTAGTGAAAAAAATCAGTAGCAACTACTGATACCCTGACTACTTGACTCACGTTCAGTACATACTGCAGTACATTTAGTAAGGTATAGATCACACCAGTGCTTTGTTCTGTATAATACATTTATTGTTAGTATCATACTTTGAAAAGTTTTTTTGAAAGTCTACATTGAAAAGCCATTTCTTTTGCTATGCAATAACCTTTCAATAAATAATGGTTACAGGGACAATTTGCTGCAGCCTCCTCTTGTTAGTCGCGAAGACAAGCGCAAAGATCTCACTTCTGCTCTGCTATATGACACTGTTGTCGACTCTTCTCTGCCGGATAGCACTCCTCGTCAAAAGGTTATCTCTGTGCTAGGGCCAAGTGGAGTGGGCAAGTCATCTTTGGTAAGAGATGTGTATGAAACGCTGGAAATCAAGAACCATTTTGTTGAGCAGGCTTTGGCTACTTTTCCACCTTATTCCAGTGCTTCCGATATCCTGAAACTAATCCTTAGGGATCTCAAAGAAGAAGACTTCACATTATCTAAGAGGGAGGTCACCAAGGAGCTTGATAAGAAACTGAAAGGGAAGAGGTACTTGGTGGTGATAGATGGTGAAGTAAGCACCACTGAATGGAAACACATCCTAGCTGCCCTCCCTTATGAAGTAGAAAGCAGAGTCGTGAGGATGTCGAAAGAGAGGCTAGAAGACCCACCAACAAACTATAAACATGTTAGGATCCAGCTTGACCATTTTCATTTGATTGCTACAACAGAACTGTTCCAGCAGAGAGTGTGCAGGGAAGAAAGCAATCCTGAGTACAACGAAGCTGTCAAAATGGCGTTCGAAATGATTACCAGCAAGACATTTTTGACACCACACAGGGGCTACCACTAGCAATTGTTCTTCTTTCAGGCCTTCTACGAACAAAGGAGTATCCAGTCGAGTGGAAAGCTGTATTTGAGCATCTTAAATCCAAGCAATCAAAGCGGCTTGACAGCATACTGTCCCTGTGCTTTGATGATCTTCCATATGACATAAAATCTTGCTTCCTCTACTTTGCTGCATTGCCAACAAACATGCTGATTGAAGCACAAGATTTGGTGTGCATGTGGATGGCAGAGGGCTTCCTGAGGCCAAAGGAAGGGTTGACAATGGAGAAGGTTGGTTACCGTTACTTGAAGGAGTTGATTGCAAGGCATTTAATCAACCTAGAGCCTATGGATGAAAATACTCCCGAGGAGGAGCTTGTGACCATACAAAGCAAAGTCCATGCATTTCTTCAGATTGAGGCACAAGAGGTAAATTTTGTGGAGATCCACAACAGTGATGATATCCCGCCTCTGTCAGCTGCTCGCCGCCTCAGCTTGCAAAATCGCATGGAGAAGTATGCTGCATTAGCCAACCCTATGCCGAAGCTTCGATCCATCTTGTCTAATTTTGAGAAGGAAGAAACAAGCAAGGAATATGATGTCGCCGATGAAGATCAGGAAGCCAAAGTGCAACAGTCTCCAATCTGCCTACATTGCTCACCACATGGAACCACAACCAAGTGCAAGGAGGGCGATGCCAAATCTTATCTGCGGCAACTTCTGCAAACATCCAAGTTCCTACGTGTGATTAACCTGCAAGGCCTTGAAGTTGGTGACAAGTTGCCAAATGAAATTGGTGATGTTGTGCACCTGCAGTACCTTGCTGTGACATCCTGTTCTTTGAAAGAGATACCACCATCAGTTGGAAGGCTCTCTAGTCTTCAGACACTAGATGTCCGAGATACAGAAGTTAAGGAGCTACCGGTGCCATTCTGGGAGATTGGAACCCTAAGGCATGTGTTTGGCCATCGCCTCACCTTGCCAAAACAGGTTGGTGACTTGAAGAACCTACAGACCCTTGATACTGTGAAACCTGATGATAAGTATGGTTGGGATAGAAATACCCTTTCAAAAATGATCCAGCTCCGTTCCTTGTTCATTTGGGAACTCTCAAAGGTCATGAGAAGGGGCTAGTTGCTGCTCTGAAAAACTCAAGTACCTTGTCACACTGACCATACATGGTGACAGTATTCCATCGGCTGTTTTCTCTACTAAAACCTCGCTTCGACGACTTGAGGTGATGGAATTGGATGGAATGCTTATTGACATGCCATGTGTAGAGGACATGGACATCAAATCATGCTTGCCCAATCTACTTCTTTTGTCATTAGAGAACACAATGGTCTCACAGGACTTCATCAACAAGTTGGCTGAGTTGCCCTTCCTTGCTAGTCTCACTCTGGATGGTGGATCATACAAGGATGAGCAGCTTGTATTCTCTGCTGGTGGATTTCATAGTTTGAGGAGGTTGACGGTTGACTTAGAAGAATTGAAGAAATTGGAAATACATGAATCAGCACTGCCCAAGCTTGCAGATTTGGATATTTTGATCCACTCTAATGATCTGAATATTGTGATACTGGGTAAGAACGACGTCGTTGAGAAGCTCCTTCATGAGGATAAAATACTCTCCAAGAAAATCCAACGGACTACGAGGAGTGAACGAACTGCCCGAAGGATCGGAGTTGAATGAATTGGTGCTCACTAGCTGCTACCGGTAGGTACTTTTAAGTATGTCAAGCCTGGCAATGTAACAGTGTGTGCGCACAATTTAAGATTGAAACATATGTACGTATTCTGTATTTTATTGTTGTAACTTTTCAGTCTCATGGTGTTCACTATGTACATAATGGTGTGACAAAAACTCGTTAATTGTTCTGTTATCTAAAAAGTAATAAATGAACGCTCGATGTATATATAATAAAAACATTTCAACTCTCCCTGACCCAGTACGTTCATTTTTGCAATACACACCCGGTGCCCTTAAAATTTTATGTGATTTCATCATCTATCACTCTGGATTGAGCGCTTTGCGGGTGCGAATGCACCCGGCAAAGGCTACTTTGCACTCGGCAAAGCGTTTGCCGGGTGCAGCACTCGGCAAAGAGCCTCCGGCAAAAAATTAGTCGGCAAAGATTTCTTTGCCGTGTGCTTTTTATCGGGCACCCGGCAAAGACTTTGCCGAGTCCAAACTCGGCGCCCGGCAAAGAAAAGTGGTTGAATTCTGGCGCCGGCTCCGTCATCCTTGCTTTGCGGGTGCCATGTCGAGGCACCGGCAAATTTTTTTTTTTTTTTTTTCAAATTTTCTTTGCGGGTGCCCGTCGGGAGGCACCCAAGCAAAGATTTTTTATTTTTTATAATTTCTTTGCGGTGTGTCGACCGCTTCGGGCACCCGACAAAGAGTTTTTTTTTTTTTTCGTAATTTCTTTGCGGGTGCGGTCATGGGGCACCCGGCAAATAATTTTTGAAAAAACTTTGCGGGTGCCTGGCCCCGCACTCGGCAAAAAGTGAGAATTCCCAGCTTTTGCCGAAAGTGAATGTGGCTGAGGCACCCCAAGCAAAGCCTCAAAAATTAATTTTTTATTTTGTTTTTTATTCTATAATCATAAACACAGCATATAAAAGATATATATCACATCGAAGCATCACAAAGACAATATAGCACATATATATCACATCCATCTCATCACAAACTCAATCCCACACATATATATCACATCATGAATACAATACCTCACATACACGACATTACAAACATAATAGGTCTAATTACCATCGAAACAAGTCGATAGTGGATCACGATTGCATCACATGTCCATCAAGCGGTGAAAAGAGATACAAACTAAAGGTGGGGAGGGCGGAGTGCACAGTGAAGGAAACTTCGGCACCCTTTGCTTGCTTGCCAAGATGGGTTATTTGAACCCGCCGACGGAGGCTGCATAAAGGACAAGAGATTGAGCGCTTAGAGTGTGTCATCTAATGAAAGCACTAGTCGAAGCAAATATGGATTCATACTCCTTTGGACTAGCTTCTGGTGGCGGCGGCTGCTGGGCGAACATCGGCACAGTACACCGTTCACTTGCCCAAAGTTCTGCGGGAACATCGTAATCTCCGCCATTGCTTGGCTGTCTCTCTCCTTTCGGCCCTTTCGGCTTGTCTTTCTGCTTAGCCACCTCGGTCCTCGCCGCCAGGTCCCGCAGCTCCTGAGCCATCCTCTCGTTCTCAGGTTGCAACATTTCAATCGAATGTTTTAGTAATGTAAAGGTAACTAAGTTATGTAAAGATCAATGTCTGAAGAGTTAAACTGGACTAACACTGGAGTGCGTCGACCCGGCATTCTTTGTGAAGGGATGGCCGTTGGCGTATGGCCGGGCCTCCGCGGGGTACTTGCTCGAGATCTGGGAGAGGGAGGGAACAGAGCGGACTCGAGGGTGCCATCGCCAAGCCGATCGCCCATGCTTCTTGCCCTGTTCGATCCTCATGACGATCGTGAAAAAAAACGGTGTTAAATATGTTAGCTAACGGTGTTAACTGGCTGTTAAAAAGACATTTTTGCCCCTAGAAAAAAAACGGCGAATCAAATTTGAGAGGAAAAAACCCTGTGCCCTTTTTTGCGGGTGGCGCATGCATCGAGGCGGTAGTTTTTTTTTTTCTCTCAAATTTGCTTCGCATTTTTTTCTAAGGGCAAAACATCTTTTTAACAACAACACCGTTAGCTAACTGATTTGACTGATGTAGTGTCAAATTAGGGATGAAAGTTGGAGTGAGTGTCAAATAGGTAACGAAGAAAATTTCAGGGCCAAGAAAGGAACGACTCATTTTTCCAGTGTCAAATAAGGAATTCTCTCTTTTTACTTTGGACTGGAGTGGACCACTTCAAAATTCAAGGAATTAGATGGATAATTTATATACAAATTAATAGTGTTATCATTATCTTTATAATGAAATATGTGGGTAATTTAGATTCAAATTTAAGCATTCATTTACATTATATTTCATAATAATACAGGTGGATAATATAGGTACAAATCTAGAGGGTTATTTTTTATTATCTTTCGTAATGATAGATGCGGGTAATTTAGATAGAAAATTTAGGGGTATTTTAAATTATGTTTTATAATGTCAAACATGGATAATTTAGATGTGAATTAAGGGGTTACTTTCATTATTTTTCATAATGGTAGAAGGTTGGCAATTTTTGTACTCCCTCCGTAAAGTCGTTTTAGACAAGACTTGGGTCAAACCTTAGGAATATAAATCATGAATAACTTTTAATTTGTTGAGTTTGGAAATATGAAAATCATATGAATAGATTTGTCTTGAAAAATACTTTCATAAAAATATGCATATATCACTTTTCAATAAACATTTTTATAAAAATAAGAAGTTAAAGTTATGCTTTGGAGACAGTATCGCTGTCCAAACGACTTAAATTACCAATATGGAGGGAGTATAAATTATAGTATATCATACATTAACTACTGTTAATAATGATGATTAGAGCAGGGGAGTATCGGGGGTAAGCCTTCTGCCACATCGCGTTTGGCCTTCTCGATTGTAATAATCCAACGTGTGTAACGTTTCAATCCAAGAGCGAGTGGCGGATCCAGGATTTTAAACATGGAGATGAAGGTATGGACCTAAGTGACGTAATTCACTAATGATATAATATGACGAGAGAACGACGATAAAATAGTTAGGTATACGAATTTAAGGATACAATTCGTCAACATTCATACAAAGATAGTCATTCCCAAGATCTTGATAAACATATTAGTTTCTTGGTGATCCCGTGTGGAAAAATAAATCTTTTGTGCTTTATTGAGTAGTCCAAAAAAAGCTAAATCATTTTTCCTCTTAATGCCATGACCATTCTAAAAAAAAATTTATTTATTTATTGAGTAAAGTAGAAATGATTCTTTTCAAAATTTACTTATATTAAACAAGGTCAAGATTAAAACTTCACGAGAAGAACAATATCGAATGTTTGGAAGGAAAAAAGAGTCAACTTTACATATTTATCCTTCATAATTCGTTCTATAATTTTAATCTTGTACTTGTGCTACGTGTGCATTCGTTCATTTTAGGCTTTGCGGATTTAGAAGAAAGAGTGTTAGTATGCTACGGGTTGTTTTCCCTCTTAGACGAGTATTTGAGGTTAAGATATTTTTATCAGAAATGTTGGTGTCAGGGGTGTCCGACCTGACGCCCCCGTTGCCGTGGCCGCGATGGTAGGAACGGCCCAACTATCTCGTATGCCTCCTCTGGTCGTCTGTTTGATAAAAAAACGTTTGGCTGTCTTCTTCACTCACGGGTCTCCAGTAGCATCGTTCCCAATCTCCACTCGTCGCCAAATTCTAATTCCGCACTCCACCGTAACCGTGCTCCTGCGGCACTCGACCGCGGCTGGCCGGCCGCCATCCTCCATCTCCACCTCACTGGCGCGCGCTGGTACTTCCTCCTCCTCTCCACCACAGTTCACCGACCATCTGACGGCTTGATTCGCCGTGCCCACCCGCCGACTTCCGTCACTCTTCAAGCGGCACCTCGGGCGGGAGCGGCGACTAATCGGCCTCCGCCTCTCTTCCTCTCCACAGAGCTTGGTCTCCATCGTCCCTCAGCGATGGCATCCAGTGATGCGGACGAGATCGGGTAGGGGTAGCGCCGCCCACCTCTGCTGGCGCTGATGGTGCCGTTGCGCGCCTCATGTCAGTCTCCACTGAGCCAAGGGAACCCATGAAGTGCGGCCCGTCTTTGGTGGTGCTCGTCTTGTTGCCGCTTGGCGCGGCTCACACTTGAGGCTAGAATGAACTAGCCCTAGCCTCTCCCTCTCCTATGTTGCAAATATATGTTTCAAGTGTTTCAGATGTTATTAGAGGTATGTTGCAAGTGTTTTATATGGATATTTCAAAAGTAGATAAGGATGTTGCATATGTTGCATGTGTTTCAGAGACATGTTGCAAGCGTTTCTTCAAAATGTTTCGTCTATTTCAGACGTATGTTGCAAGCGTTTTTTTATCTAGATGTTGCACTTGTTTCACACATATGTTATGTGGGCGTGGTGGCAACAAGTGGTAGGTGCAGCCGGGGTGCGCGCGTGCAGGGCGGGGCAAGGCAGATGGGAACAGGGTACGCTTGCGTGGCGGGGTGAGGCAGACAGGGGATGGACATGCGCGTTCAGCAGGGGATCATGACGATGATGGTAGGCATAGGTGGGTGGGCTAGGGCAGCAGCATGCACGGGGCATCCGGACGCGCTCATCTGCTTTGGATGTTTGGGCGCTAGTAATTCCTTGTTTTTATTTCATATAAAATGTTCTAGATATTATATACTTAATATTTTTTCAAAAATTTTGGGGGTATAGCTATTCCACCTACAGTACATCCGCCCCTGCCAAGAGCACGAGAGACGCACATGCCACAGAGGCTAGCGACAACTTGATTCACGGTGTGCTAGCTTAGGGGCTCCTTCCTAAAGGCTCATTCGAAGGAGTCAGAGTCAGTTTTGGAGGAGCTACGTCCTTTTTCTATTGAAAAACAGCCCCAAATAATTCCTCCTACTAAACCGTTCGGTACGGCTTCTCCAGAGGAGCCGGAAAGGGGCACTACCAAATGGGGCTTGAATATGCAAACGCTTGGCTCCTGATCAAGTAGCGAACGCACGTTGACACCACGTCAGACGCTAGCTTTGTCC